GAGAGAGAGAGAGAGAGAGAGAGAGAGAGAGAAAACACAAACAAAAAAAAACCCCACAAAGAATGTCTAATTTATTTTTTTCCTTTTTGGTTTTTTTCAAGACAGGGTTTCTCTGTGAAGCCCTAGCTGTCCTAGAACTCGCTCTGTAGACCAGGCTGGCCTCAAACTCACAGAGATGGGCCTACCTCTGCCTCCCAAGTGCTGGGATCAAAAGCATGTGTTACAATGTCTAGATGCCTTACTATTTTTTTTTTTAAGATTTATTTATTTATTATGTACACAGAAGAGGGTGCCAGATCTCATTACAGATGGTTGTGAGCCACCATTTGGGTGCTGGGAATTGAACTCAGGACCTCTGGAAGAGCTGTGGATTCTCTTAACCTCTGAGCCATCTCTCCAGCCCCACCTTACTATTTTTATATTGTTAGTAATGTACAGTGTCAGGCTCTAGATGCTGCATTTTAATTTCTTTTTGTTGTTATTTTAATCAAGATCTCAGGGCTCAAAACTCTTAGAAAGTTCAAGGTGACCTTGAACTTGATCCTCCTTCTTCCACCTCTCCAATACCATGCCCAGCTCCATGCATGCTAGGTAAGTACTCTCTCAACTAAGCTAAACCCAAGCCCTAGAGCTTACATTTTTGAAGACCACAGTTGATTTATAAATGCAATACAGGTAAAATAAAGTCATCAAGTCAGAGCACTGTGCTACATTTCAGACCTCCCTCTAAGAGGAAACTCTGCACTTGAGCCCTGGACCAGCAAGGCCCTGCCTGGGTCTTTAACAGACACAGCATATGCAGGAAGTGCCCTGGTTAGGTAAAGGCAATTTCCTCTTTAGAAAGAATTCAAAAGCTCCCTCAGACATTGCAAGCCCATGTTATGTTTGTTTTTGTTTCAGAGCCTTAGGGGGGAAAAAGGAAGTATGTAACTATTAGCAGTGATGACTGGGGAAGGGCCGAATCCATCTAAACTACCTCCTGTGTACTCATCCTAAGTTTGCTCTTTTGTTCACAGAATACCAACCGCTGCCATTTCAAACCTGCTTTTACCTTAGATCATTTTCTTCTTCAAAAAGAGTTCACAAGTTAAAGCTCAGTCAGCACTAATCCAACCAGAGAAGTAATCAAGTACATTTACTTGGCTTTATGAAGATTTTTAAAATAGAGGCTTTGCTGCTAAGAGGATCTCCTTGTGTTTGAGGTGGTTCCAGTGGTCCAACATGTTCACTCTTATCTAACTGAAGGGTCACGGCACTGTTTACACCATGGAAAGGTAGCGCTAAATAAAACTCAACTTAGCAAGGCTTCCCTACCTCACCCCTGATACCTGAGCCATGCTCTCTCTACTGAGGTGGTTTGTACTTACAGAGTAGATTTTAAGAAGTTTCAAGCATGATGGCACACTTCTGTAATCTAAATACCCAGGAGGCAGAGGCAAGAGCCAGAGGTCTACGGATTGAGTTCGACACCAGCCAGTGCTATACTGTGAAACATGCATTATGTGGTGCTGTGGGTCAACCTAGGGTTTCATGAAGTTAGGCAAACACTCTACCAACTAAATTATACCCCCAGCTCCTATACCACACATTCCTTGTGCTTTCATAAATCATACTGTAGTTAACAACCATCAGCCTCAAATGCTACCTAGACATCTAGGACGGTGGTTCCCAACCTGCTGGTCGAGAGGCCTATGGGTCAAACGACCCTTTCACAGGGGTTGACTAAGACCATCAGAAAACACAGATATTTATATTACAATTTATAACAGTAGCAAAATTACAGGTATAAAGTAGCAACAAAAATAATTTTGTGGTTGGGGGTCACCATAACATGAGGAACTATATAAAAGGGAACCAGCATTAGGAAGGTTAAGAACCATTGACCTAGGACAACAATATCTCTGTTTGCAACATCAAAGAACATAAACGGCCAGCTACCACACCTTTAATCTTAGCATTCATGGGGCAGAGGCAGGAGAATCTCTGTGAACTCAAGGCCAGCTTAGTCTACACGGCAAGTTCTAGATCAGTCAAGAGAGGAAAACAACATAAATGGCAGGCAAGTCAAGGTCTTCAGGAAGAAACCGAAATGTATACAGTTCACATTCACTGGTCCATTCTGAACTCCTCCGGAAACCTCTCCATGGTGAGAGATCATTAAAACTTTTTTTTTTTTTTTTTTGGAGACATGCCCTCTCTACATAGCCTGGCTGTCCTGGAACTCACAGAGATCTGACTGCCTCTGCCTCCCCAGTGCTGGGATTAATGGGGTGCTGTCACCACCACCCCTGCAAGATCATTAAAACTGACAAAGTATTCACTAAAGCTGGATTTAAACTTATAGTAACTTTTAAAAGTTAACAAGATGGTCGGGCAGTGGTGGCACACGCCTTTAATCCCAGCACCCAGGAGGCAGAGGCAGGCGGATCTCTGTGAGTTGGAGGCCAGCCTGGGTTACATAGATCCAGGAAAGGCTCCAAAGCTACACAGGGAAACCCTGTCTTGGAAAAAAAAAAGTTAATAAGATGATGAGCTCACAAAATACTACTCACTGACACAAAACAATACAACTGACATACTTCCTTGCAGAGTTTAGCTATAAAAAGGTTTTAAAAAAATGAGGCTGGAGAGATCACTCAGTGGTTAAAAGCACTGGCTGCTCTTCTAGAGGACCCTGGTTCAATTCCCAAGCACCTACATGGCAGCTCACAACTGTCTGTAATTCCAGTTCCAGAGGATTCAACACTCTCACACAGACATGCCTACAGGCAAAACACCAATGCACATAAAATAAATATAAGTCATTTAAACAGGTCATAAAATGTATGT